TTTTATTTATATTAATATATTAATTTTTTAAATCTGATTATATTTTCTTTCACTTATACACGCGTACGATGGCACGTCGTGTTACATGACAAAAGCTATCGTTACACAGACATCGGGATGACCTGACAACGATTTATTGGCTTTCAAAGCGTTCGACTAAATCCGCTAGTTGGCTTCATTGGGTTCTAACTTGCAATAGATAAAACAGAATTTACTTTCGTCTTTATGTTAGAGATAACTTCAACCTGTGATGCACATTCTAGAGAAAATTTTATAATCATAGAATTATCTGTTAACCCGAATTCTTTGTCAAATAATTGTTTTACAGAAAAATAACGTTCGAAATATCACAATGATGAGATAATGATGCAAATTATGTTAAAAAACGATTTATATCGAAAACCGGTACGAAATTATATATTTTTCGACTTGTTCTATGGTAGTCGCGTTTTCTTGTACAATTTTTTAATCGAGAGACCATTTTGTGGACGAATCAGTGTCGGATGAAACGGAGAGAATTGTATCTCGCCGCAATTACGATCCGTGGTCCATACGACCACTGCCGTCGCTCATCCCGCATTTGTTCTCAACGTCGAAACATCCATATCGTTCGCGAATAGGCGATCATACACAATAGGCTTTATCGTATCTTCCTTTGAAACTTGTAGCGCGATTCCACCCTAATTAACGAATCATTCATCAGCACTGTAATTAACGAGGCAGTCTCCGTCGCGGATTATCAGACGGATCCTTTCGTTCGCGGCGGTATCGCGCCCGCGGTAACGTTTCTGAATATAAGCTCTTGCAAAATCGCGACGAGCAAAAAATATTTTCGCAATACTCCGTACTCGAATTAGCTTTTGCGAATCGTACGAACGAATCCGAAACGTATAGGAATTGAAAGCGCGACAAGATGCAAACACATACGTGCAATTATTAATTCGTAATATGTTTACGTGCGATGTACAAATTCAGTAATTTTGTAAATAAATACGTAGTATGGTATTTTGATTAAAATACAAAAGCTCGAACTTTTTTAATTTTCACAATTTTTTAAATCAACTCGGGGTCGATGGAGTCTCTAATAAAATGTGCAGCATCTCTATATACGTGTCAATCATCGAGCACATTTCTCCGGCTTAAGTCGCACTTTAAGGAGTTGGAGATTCTCGGAGATGCGATTGTTACGATTTCATAAAGCGCGCATATATATATCGGGCGTATCTCTCTCCCCCGTGTAAATCTCTGCGCGCGTACTTATTCCTACGGAGAAATATTATTATTTGATCAGTCATAAGTAGGAGGATGGAGGCTGCCGAGATCGCATAGCTCCTCACTCCTCTCTCCACGACCTTGGCGAGCGAGAATCTCAGAGGCTGGCGTAGAGCGGCGATTTAATAATAAATTGGCTCTAGAACTTGCGCGCTTCCTCCCGGAAGAGAGACGTAAGGGCTGCTGGCTTTTCGGCTAAATGGGCCGCGGGATAGGTGCCCGTTTCTCGAGGGAATCTTAGGCTTCTTAACCTTGGACTATACGTGTACGGCGTTTCATCCGCATTCATTATGCACTCAACGCCTAATTGATTTTTTACTCCCCCTCTTGCGGGGGATATCCTATCGGTATCTCGACGCGCGTGTTTCGGCCGCGTGACGGGAATTACAGAGAATTTTGCTGGCAACGTTAATTAGCGTGTTTGCGAAATATGCTCGCGATGTACGCATGCATCGTTCGCATGCGTATACGTACGTGCATATTGTGTGAACGCGCGATCATCGTGTAATTCTACGCTGCTGCGCGAATTTTTGTCCAATTGTATTTAAACGCGCAAATGGACCCGAATAAAATATATATATAAATATATATATATATATATACATATATATATATATATTTATTTATTTGTAATTTTATGGCATGGTACGGTTGTTATAAGCGAGAAGCGCCTCTTTTACTCTTTGTTATGCAATCGCGAAAATGAAAATTTGCGCGTGTATCACTATTTATTTTATGTTAAATTACATTTGCAAGTGACTCGATGCGCTTTTCTCGGCGCTGTTATCAAAACAAGAAAAAAGTCGATTATATTTCTCGAGATATGGCATTACATCGTCAATGTATAATAAGCATCTCATTTACAGCTAGTTTATTTAGTTAAGAAAATTAATACTTGATAATTTATAAATTTGTATAGATCTGATAAAGACAAAGATGTTTACTTATGAATAATTTGCGAGGGGGAGTTTGCTAACCATAAAGATACTGTTTATAATCGGATATGAGTGCCAAAATCTCGTTCTTCGGCAAAAATAAAATTGGCTATACGCCTTTGGCGAAAATCTGTTTAAGTTTACCATTTATCAGTCGCGGTAAGTTTGTTTGCGTGAAGGGTTCTATTCGACGAAGCTTTTCTCGTTGACAGAAGTGTGCCCCAACAGTGCATGCGAGTGGAACTTAATCAAATGGTAAACGGGTGGAAAACAAGCAATAACGTAGCGCCGTCGCGGCGGTAGCCAAGCATGGCGAGGACGTGGAGAAAGGGCGACGAGAGCGAGGGTGGAGAGAGGAAGAGAGGAAGAGGGGAAGACAGGCCGTCAATCGGGAGGGGGTGTAAATCTGATAAAATCATCTCGAACCCTCGAGTCTCTCTTGCCCCTTTGCGGCGCACAGTGCCGCGCTCGGATTCCTCGTAGATATATCCGATAGCAGCGCGGGGGTCCTCCTAAGTAACGTAAGTAATGTAAGAGGGTGGGTTGCTACGGTTGTTATTAAATGAGACAGCCTAATAGGCCCATTACGGACCCCTTCTCGCCGGTCCATTCCCACATAATATAATCCTCACCGCACGCGCACGCTCGTTGCCGCTGTCCCTTAACGTCTCGCCACCCCCCCCCCCTCCCCAATATGTCATGTATCTTGATCTGGAGTGAGCTCACGCCTACGAAAATCTTTGGTCCAAACGGCTCGCGCGAAAATTGTCCCCCGAATACATCCCTTTCTACCCGTAATCCAGGTTGACGTGCGCGGATATTGCCATGGAACAGGATGTCCCGCATCAACCGAGTCAAAATATTTCAGGTTTCTTCGACGAATCTACGAAGTTTAGTTTTCTTTTCGTGAAAATGTCGAATAAGGGTGCTCATTATTAATCGCAACTTAATAATTTTCAATTTTGAACTTCTTAAGCAACTGAGTAACCAAGTCTTAATAAAGTTTCTGTTATAAAACAAGGATGATGGAATCAATTAAAAACGAGAAATTTTGTTATTATTTCTAGAATATTAACTCATACAATATTAAAAAATAATAGTGTATTTATTAAATATTATTATGTAATTAAAAAAATTTACTTTAAATTTATCAAAACTAAAAGAAAGAGAAAGTGGTAATTTTCGAACACTATACATAGATATATCTTTTCTAATCAATACAACGATTATAACATTACGTATTGCAAAAATTAAAGTTTCCTGCACTTTTATTAAACAAGTATTGTATACATTTATAATTTAATTAATGTAGTTGCTAATACGGAAAAGAGAGAAAGAGAGAGAGAGATATATATATACCGTGCATTCGCACACACGTGCGCGTAAAATTATGCCAACAACAATGGTGAAGCAATGGATATTAATCCGTTGCAATGGTATTGTCGAATCTCTCGGGTGTCAAAGTTTCGCGAATGCGTATTTTTATCGTTAAAACATTAGCGCGCGGCGGAGTTTCTAATTGCCTGGGGAGGGCGCGGTCTTAATTTATTCAACAATTCTGCCAATTACGCGAGCGGCGAATATGAATAACGACGTTGTTACGAATTAATTAATCATTAGTAAGTATTAGCAACTCCATTTGCTGACACTTTTGCATTAATATTAAATGGTTATGGCCATTGAATTAGCTCTTAAACGATGGCATTTAATTGTTGAATTATGCAGAAATACATTTCTTTTATTTCTGTTTAATTTTCTTTTTTTATTAAAAAGCCTCTTAGAGAAATGTTTACAAGCTGTATGTTATAAATAATTAACTATCGATGTGTGCGCTCGTATTTTACTCGGCTGACAGACATATCGTTCTACACGAAATGAATGACGATCGCCAATCAGTACAAAGGTTCGAATTTCGGCCAGTTATTCCGACGCCATCAACCAATAAAACCGAAGGTCACATTGCCGCATCAACTGAGTTTAATATAAAGGTATTGTGTATATATATGTATATACGTTGTACGCAAATAAACGACGCGCGCGCGATACACGTGTTTGCGACGCAAAGTGCTTTCGCCTTGTTAGTAAAAAGCATTATTATTACAAAAACGTTATGCATGCCGTTTCGTTTTGTGCGACACGTAGCGCTTGTTTTCCGTGGAAATAAAACGTCGTTCGCGGGAATAATGCAAAGCTTCTCTAATCGTTTTTAAGGTAAAGCTAAGATTGAATTTTTTTTTTTTTAGAAACACAGCTTCACTTTTACGGTTTCCTTGCCGAAAGACTGTATGCGATTATATCATACGTACTTACAGAAATGTCACAGATCAACTTCCCTCGGGGTATTTAAAGTTAAAATGAAAGAAACAATTGATCCTTTTGATAATTTTCGAGATAGCTTCTTTTAATTTTCAATAATGGAATAAAAGTTTAAAAAATAGAGAAGAATTAAGAAGATCGCAAAAAAGAAAAAGAGTCATTGGCTCATTTGAAATGCACTTTGCTTCAGCAGAATTTAAACGAGATAGAAATATCAAGCTAAGCGATGTTAAAAATTAAAGCGAGAAAGAGAGATGATAGTATGCAATTTTTTTTTTGTTATGGAAAGCAGACTTTAAAAGAAACTACATTCTCGAGTGAAAGTGCATGACATCCGTTACGTTCTATATATACTGGCTATGTATCTTACTTTTCAGAACGAGACATGTAAAATTCATTGACGCATCATCTAACCCTTGTATTCACAGTTTAAGAATATCTTCCTGTCATGTTTAAATAATGTAGAGCGAACAGTCATTTGTGTTGTGTCAGTTCTTTATACTTTCGTAGACGTTACATCAGGCAAAGTTATGTTATGACAAACTTATAGATTTTCGGATAATAGCAGTTGATGAATGCGAGTTGACGCACGCGCGTTTAATGATCTATAGAAATTATAGCAATTTTTGAAAATATGATCGATAACAATATCGATTTTATTATCTATTCTTTTCATTTACTCGCGATATGTTTAAAGTAATAATATATTATTTGCAAGATATTTTTCATATAATATAAAGAATTAAACGTATCAATTAAATGATGAAATTTTAATAGCTAGGAGCCTTTTTATACGATTTACTTTCGCGATTGTGAGACTTTATCGTTCGAGAGTTTTCACTTATCCACCGATTTATCCATCTCATCAAATTTCCAAGAGGTAGAGACAGAGATACATATCACCTATGTGATTTTGCAATTTCCATGTATGAAAAAGTGGCTCGTGCGATAAGATTAACTCGTACCGGTTGCGCGTCGCTGCGGATGCTGTCGCTAAGGGAATTCACGAAGACAGAAAATCGAGTCCAAGGCCACGTACCTTGATAACATCGCGAGATCTGCTGACGCTTGGTGTCCCAGTAGTGGATTGGCGGAAGCGTCGCCGGGCGGCGAGAAGGTCGTAGCCGGACTGGTAGCACTGGTAGCACATCCGATACCGATACTCGCGGAATTGGCTCTGGACTCCAAGCCGGCGTGACCGGTCGCGGGGATACCGCGCTGGCCGCCGGACAGTCTCAGGGACGTTGGCGAGGACGAGACTCTGCCGGGGCTGCCGCAGGACGGCGGAACCCTCTGCGAGTTTTGCGAGTTCGTCGGCGGCAGCGGCGACGTCCTGTCGACGTCCGACGACTGTCTCTCCCCGGAACCCGTGGACGTTGTCGAATCGACGGGCGGCGATTCCGGTCTGCCGAGGATGCTGGAGATACTGAAGGACGTGTACTGCGGATTGCAGGCGGGCCTGAGCGCCGGCTTGCTGACCGAGTCGAAGCTAAATGAGTGATGGTGATTGTTCAGGCCGCAGCCGGATTTGCCGTTCTTCTCCTGCAGCAGCAGCTCCGCCGGCGTGGAACTGCTCCTGGAGCCCTCCAGTTCTAGATCCTCCTCCGACACAACCGACACCTCGATCTCCGTCTCGCCGGACATTCTACGTGCCTGTCCACCCGGGGAGATCTGTTGCTGCGGGAGTTCTTCCGCGGCTAGGCCAGCTAGCCCCGATACGATTCTTCGAACGAACTTTCGTTCCTGCTCGTAGCCGCGCGTCGTTCTCGTCGACGACGCTTCTCGATACTCGCTTCTCGGAGCAAGCCGTCGACCGGTCGACAGTTAAGCGGAATCCGTCGTCTCGCGCGACGCGATCCGGCGGCGGCTGTCTTCCTCGGATGATCGCATATCAGGACGACACACACACACACACGCGCGCACACACACACAGGTACGTACAGCGCGTTGATCGTAGCTCAGATGACGAGGCTGCCGTTGGTTAGTAGTAGATGATGCGCGGTCGTCGCCAGGACGTTCTCGCGCGTCGTCGTGGATCGCAGACGGATCGCTCGATCGCGCGACATTCGTAAGCGATACCCTGGACGACAGGATGATAGGAGACAAGACACTTGGAGGGACCACCCTTCGTCCTCTCCCCCTATCGTCCTTCCGCCACCTATCACACCCCCTCTCTCTATCTTCACCACTATATCTCTCTGTCTTTTGCTCTCTCCTTCTTCACCACCACTCCTATCGGCACCAGCCCGATACGTAACTTCTCCTCTCCTTTTCTCCTCCCGCTCTCTTTCGTTAATCCGCGGCGCGTAAAGCGTTTCTCGCTCTTGTAACACCGAGGCCAAGATGCAAGAGGCACTATCCGTGCCGTCACTTTCTTCGAGTCACTTCCACTGATCGTCGGACACTCGTCACAAACCGGCGGCGTTGTATCGGCCCGTCATCGCGGGGAGAGTCATCATCGCGCAACCCTTCTCCATCCGACCGATTGAAACGCGACGTTCGCAAATCGACAATTCGTCGAGAAATGCGGAAGGAGCTTATACGTACATCGGATCGTTCGGATCGGCGTCAGTTTGCTTGGTAAGAGAGTCACGGTAACCGCTAGCGATCGACGCGCGACGAACGCGACGACGCGTTCGCGTCGGAATTTCGGCTCGCGCGACGTAACGTTAGAGCGTCGGCGCGCGCTCACAGCGTTTGGCCGCGTTAGAAAGAGAGCAGTGCATGGGCACCCTCGTGTCCTGTGTTACGCTTCGCGGTGCGGAGTGACGAGCCGCGGTGGATGGGCGCAACTGTGTGCTCGCGCTATTAAGGGTAGGAAAACGCCGGAGAAACCGCAGGTCACACGGATGAGGAGAGATTCGCTTACACACACACGCACACTCGTGTGTCCGTTTGCGAGAGGGGTAGGAGGAACGCGGGGAGAGTACGGGAGACGACGCGAGGGAGGGAGAACGGTGGCGACGGTGGCGGCAAGTAAGACAGAGAGAAAGAGCGCTTCAGAGTCACGCTTCGAGAGTCACGGGGTAGTTATTGCGCGCCGCGCGATAGCTAGACTGTGGGGTAAGCGCCGTTCGCTGAAACGGGGCGAGTGGATAAATTAGAGGGTGTCAGAGGGAGACGGAATGAGGGAGCACGCTGGCGCACTGGCGATATCGGGGGAAAGACGGCAGAGGGGAATGACGAGCGAGCGGGCGCGGAGGACGGCTAAGCTGCAAGTTGTCGGAAGGGGTGTTGGTGCTGTTGGGGTAGGTAGGTAGGTGGCGGGGCGGAGCCTACAGCTTGCCAGGGGTTGGTTTTGCGGACTTCTCATAGGACGGAGATGCGATCGATGACTCGCGCCGCACACGACTACCCGCCGGGGTAACCCTCGCCGCGGACCAATCGCATCGGTCGCGCCGTCCTTAACTCGGAAGATACTCGCCCTCGACGTTTCGCGCTCGAAACGCGAACCCACGGCGACGGGGTGGTTATACGCGAGACGACGGGGAGAGCGACAGGGAGGGAGGAAGGTAGGATACGACGATGTGGGGGTAACACACAACGTCGGTGGCGGTGGCCGTGCCACGCCGTGTTACTTATCCATTATAACACTCCAAGATCTTGATTTAAGCCTGCAGCCAGTGGTGAGCTTTTAACCAATTAGCCTTTATAGCCTACCCTTCCGCCCTCCCGCTTTCCGCCAACCCCTCTCCTTCCCGCCTTTCTAGTTCGCTTCGTCGAGTCTCTTCCTACCCGTGGCCACCCGTTGGTGTATCTATACTTATACCAACGTTCTCGTCCACAACCGCATGATATACCCACCTAATCTACCAGCTCTCCTCATCCTCCTTGCTTCTTCTCTCTCTCTCTCTCTCTCTCTCTCTTTTTCTTCTCTCTCATTTGAATCTTCTCACTCTCTCTTTTTCTAAGAATCTCTATTTCTCCCTCCTTTGTACCTTTTCGTTATGTACCTACATGCATTACACACATCGATGTATTAGCGCGTTGCATTCGCGCGTGCAAGTACATTAAACACATCCGCGTCGGAAGATGCACGTGCGACGATCGGACGCTCGTCGTCCAGGTAGATTGAAAGTATTCGTGCGGGGACTTAAATACGCGTCAAGGCAACGCAAATTAAGAGTGGACCACGCGGGCGATTCGAGCCCCGATATGCGATCGTCCTCCCCCGTCCCCCCTCCTCTCCCCGCTTGCTTTCCTAGCGGGCTACGCGTCAGGTTTATCGATTGGAGGACGCTTCCTCGGACTCTCGAGCTGTATCTGTGAAATAATAATAGTCACCATATTCCGCTTGTAGGAGAATCGCGTTGATTATTTATTACTTTCGGTTTGGCTATGTGTTCGAAATAAATCCGAAGACGCGCAATTATTATAATGATTAATTTGCAAATAAAACACATTTCTTCTTAGAAGCCAAAGTAAACATATAATGTAATCGTTGTTACATCGAGACTAATTTAGATTTAAAATACTTTTCCTATTTTTCATCAATTTCTTTATTCACATATTTTTTTTTATATTCTTTATGATATTTTATGCATATTGATAGAAATATAGCTTTGATATAAAATAACTTGTAATGCTATAATTAGGATCTCTCTAGAAACTTTCATTAAAAAGAGCTCGATATCTGTCAAGTATGTATCAGTCACTATATTAATTTTTGACAATTAGCAAAACTGAGAGCATTGTTGAATAATCAAAATGTGAATATACAATCGAAGAAGTGAGAATTCTCAAACGGTTTATTTTTTCCGACAATCACGCCTTAATGCGTTACATATCTTAATCCATTCTATCAAAAGGTTCGTCTTCCTGTAATCGACGAAGTTAATTAGAGGAAACGTCATTTAATCCCATTTAAGTTCAACCGATTCGATGTCGCCGATAAACCGCGTCTGAAAAAACCACCCCTTTCCTCCGCGGCCGAGATAATTAATACGCGGGCATAAACAAGATGTACCGTTATAAAAACGCAAAGAGGCAGAGCGCTGCTAACGGCAACGTTTCGAGTCGGGCGGATGCAAATGAGCGGCGCGCACGCCACGATAGCCACACCTCGCGGCTCGCGCGGAAACGCTCGGCGAGAAAGCGACCGCGCTCTCGCGGGATCCGCACGGAAAGCCGCAAAGCGGCAACCCGACCGCTCGCAGGTTTAAATAGTCAATACTTCGGTCTCTGCTTGCGGGGGCGAGAAGATAGAAGGGGAAAAATAAAAATTGTTACACCTCTGTGAGAAAATAAAGGAAAAGGAATGATCGCAAGCGCGACGTCGCGTCCGTCAGTAATGCGTCGTCGTTTTGCAAAATGCGATAAGGTGCGACCAGAGTGACTCTATGTACGTGCGCGTTCCTTTTTCTTGTACTTTATACAGTACATTTTCACCACTTTATAGGCTATTAATATGCAATATAAATCTCCAAAAGATATCGTGTTTGATAAACTGAAAAATCCTCTCTCTCTCTCTGTCTCTCTATCTCTCTCACATTAATTTTTCAAAATAGTTTGTATTAATATTAATACGAATATATACTGACAAGCAATTCAAGAAAAGTGTTGGTAAACGTCTAAGAGGCAGAGCGCTGCTAACGGCAACGTTTCGAGTCGGGCGGATGCAAATGAGCGGCGCGCACGCCACGATAGCCACACCTCGCGGCTCGCGCGGAAACGCTCGGCGAGAAAGCGACCGCGCTCTCGCGGGATCCGCACGGAAAGCCGCAAAGCGGCAACCCGACCGCTCGCAGGTTTAAATAGTCAATACTTCGGTCTCTGCTTGCGGGGGCGAGAAGATAGAAGGGGAAAAATAAAAATTGTTACACCTCTGTGAGAAAATAAAGGAAAAGGAATGATCGCAAGCGCGACGTCGCGTCCGTCAGTAATGCGTCGTCGTTTTGCAAAATGCGATAAGGTGCGACCAGAGTGACTCTATGTACGTGCGCGTTCCTTTTTCTTGTACTTTATACAGTACATTTTCACCACTTTATAGGCTATTAATATGCAATATAAATCTCCAAAAGATATCGTGTTTGATAAACTGAAAAATCCTCTCTCTCTCTGTCTCTCTATCTCTCTCACATTAATTTTTCAAAATAGTTTGTATTAATATTAATACGAATATATACTGACAAGCAATTCAAGAAAAGTGTTGGTAAACGTCTCTCGTGAATTTTGCAAAAAGTTAAATATTGACACATTAATATAAAATATGATTTTCGTATCGATATTGTATGATCATTTACGTTATAATAGAATTTGATATAAATGTGTATATCGCTGGCTTCCCGTTAATCGGTATATATTTCTATGCGCGTACTCGATTCACGTTATGACGGATGGTCATATTCCATTCATATACAATCATGATTCGGTTAAATAACCTTTAATGCGTTTGAATAGCGCTATACACTTGCGACCGCGTTCAAGTGATGATATGATTCCATGTAATGGCAATTTTTTAAAAACACCGTATACACCGTTTACACTTGTTTATCATTATTACTTATAGATTTTAATATTACGCGCAAAATTTTATGAAATTTATCAGTGTGTGATCAATTAATGAAATAAAAATGAAAATGATTCGAAAGTAATTTAATACAATTAATAAATAAGAATACATATTTACGTATGTGTATATATAAGAATAGCATAATTTTT